ACAACCGTGATTATCCTTTTCTCCCATTATCTTTGGCTATACTAGTCGCTTCCAGTCTCGCTAAGACTATGCCTTCTAATTTATCAAATTCTCTTCAACACACGTTCTCTTATCCTTGATTTCCACTAAAAACATAGGGACGAAGAACTTGATAGGACTACTAAAGGAGAGTGCAAGAAGATCGTCAAGAGTATTCTAGATCAATCTCAATTTTTGAGATTTTTGCTTGTTCCTTTTCTAATCAACAAAAATATCATCAACAACAAATCTGCAATCACCAAGCATAATTCACTACAAAGACAAAATCTTAATTTTGATCAAATTCTTCTTCGGCTTTCCCCAAATCCACTTATGTAAGACGGGCAAAATAGACTTGAGAATTGCTTCTTTTGCATGATTATGAGAGCTGGTGTGAGTCCTAAATCCCATATCATTGGAGAAGTGTGATTGAATTTGATATATAAATGATAATTACTACTAACAATTTGAGTTTTTGTTTATTTGTGAGTGTAATTAATATATAAGATTGAAGACCAAAAAAGTTGTAGAACCAAGCCTAGCTTGTTTTAATTTTTTAATATAAAATTAAAGACAAACAAATTAACAATTAAAGGCAAAAAAATTAACTTAAAAATACAATAACCGATTGAATCAGCTTTATCAATCATTTTACATTCAAATGAGAGAAGGAAGAAGGATGTCATATCCCTCTGTTCTTCTCCATTTCATTTCTCTCATATCAAACATACTATTAAATGTTAGTGTTTATTGATCTTATATCTAAAAATTATAACAAAATAAACCCAAAAAAAATCATTCATTTCAACAAAACAGCATAAGAAAAAAAAGACAAAGTAGTTTAATTCTTACTTTAAAATATATTATTTTAATTTTTTTAATGAGAATTTATTAAAATAAAGTAATTTCATAATGTTTTTCCTTTTAATTCTTTAAAGATTTCACTGATAATTTTTTTAAATTAAAAAAAAAAAAGTTAAAAAGGGAGAATTATCCTTCCATTTCCATCCTCTCCCTTTCATTCATCTCAATGCAAACAAACATACGGTAGTGTTCCTCTTTTCCGATTATTTTCATTAATCCCTAATGTTTAGGGAATTTTGTTTGAGTAAAATTTGGGGATACTTACGTCTTATGGATATTTGTTCCTTTAAGACAGTAGTAATTGAGAAATTGAGTACTTGAATTAAGACAGATAGACTGCTGCTACGCTCCTTGTAAGGTTGTTCTTATCCATGATTTATTTACTACCATTCGAATAGTTCTGAGGAGCGGAGTCTATTTGTTTACGTAGCATCGATGGTGATGTCTGAATTTGCTGATATGCACAAACCTCTCTGCTGTCTGCATCACAGCAGACTTCGGCAACCATTGGTTTCGTTCAATACCGGGTCTGGGTGGTAAGGGTAGAAAAGATAGGTCCACCTGGATCATGTCACCGTCCAATGCCATCAAACTCAGTATGTTAACTAAAAGGTACCATAGATACATAGTATCATCGAGCTGAAGCGTTTCAAACCAAACACGACAATGCTCCGGCTCCAACGATTCATAGAGTTGAGTATGAGCAAATTCCGCGGCAGGCAATTGCAGATAGCTGTCGGGTACGTACTCAATTCATTATTTTCTCTCTTGATTTATATCTATTTATGTTTAATTAATTACTTTTCCTTCTGATTTTTATGATCAATCTTGTACCTATACTTTTAGAGAAGAGCAATGAAGAAGGCGAGCATCACTGGAGATCAGAGGTGATTACCTATTTTTCTTGAATT